CCTGGTGCCACAGGCTCTGCTGGGCCGTCCTCGGTGAGGTGGGTGGGGCGATGTGTCTCCCAGGGCCCTGCCAGCTTGCATGCTGCCCGGGTTCTTCAGTGATGCTCCTCCCCTGAGCAGGTACTGGATCCAGCTGCAGGCCCCGTAGGACCATCTAATGGGAAGAAAAAAACCCCCCCCCCCGATATAATTATGGGGAGAGACCCTCCTTTGCCTGGCGCCACAGGCTCTGCTGGGCCGTCCTGGGTGAAGTGGGTGGGGCGATGTGTCTCCCAGGGCCCTGCCAGCTTGCATGCTGCCCGGGTTCTTCAGTGATGCTCCTCCCCTGAGCAGGTACTGGATCCAGCTGCAGGCCCCGTAGGACCATCTAATGGGAACCCCTTCTTGCACAGATGGGGAAACAAGACCCAGGGAGGGGAGGGGGCTGGCCCAAGGTCACACAGAGCCCGGGCAAGTGCTCGGTTTCCTGACTCTCAGGCCGGAGAGTTCCCCTTTGTTCATATGACCCTCCCCGCTTCCCTCGTCCCTGGGAGTCCCGAGGCCAGGTGTCTCGGTGCCCTCGTCGCAGATGGCGCTGGCAGATCTCACCTCTGCCGGGCACCCGGGTGAAGGGGCAGATCTAAGAGCCTGGCCCGAAGGGCAGTGCTTGGCCAGCAGGCTCCCGGCCACCAGCTGTCGTGGAGACGCTGCCCCAGTCCGAGAACCTGGTCACCAGAGCCAGGCATATTCCTGTGCCCCTGGCAGCCACCCCCTCCCCCGGGGGAACCACCAAAAGGGGCTCAGCTGGGTGGAGGGAGAGGGAGCCCTGCAGCCAGGACGGTGCCCCAGAAGCAGATGGCCTATTTGGCTGCTGTCCTCTGCCTGCTCTCTGCAGCCAGGGCCTACCTCCTCCCCGCTGCGCCATTCATCCCCTGTGAGGGTGCAGCTGTGACTGCTCCTTCATTCTGCCTGCCTCCTGCTCCCATCTCCCTCCCCTCTTTCTCTGTGGCACACAGCTGCCTGCTCTGTTGCCATGCCCTCCGCCCGCAGTTGGTCCTCCCCTGGGCACAGCTGGGCTCACCTGCATGCTCGGGCTCCCCAACACCACCTCCCCGCCCCCCATCGCAATCACTTGGACACTGACCTCACGTCCTATTCTCTCCCAGCCTTGGCTCTACGTTCACAAACGTGCCTGCCATACGCTCTGGTTCCACGGATGTCAGGGAGGCCCTGGGATGTGGATGTGTGACCTGTTGGGGACCATCTGACCTCACGTCCTATTCTCTCCCAGCCTTGGCTCTATGTTCACAAACGTGCCTGCCACACGCTCTGGTTCCACGGATGTGTGACCTGTTGGGGACCATTGGATGCTCAGTTCCCCAGAGCCCAGAAGAGGTGTGGGAGGTGCCGGGAGCCCTTCTCATCCCAGCCCCTCATTAGGGGAAGCAAAGGCATGCTGATGGGGTGGACGTGGCAGGCGGTGGCGATGCAAGTCTGGCCAGCTGCCCCTTTCATGGTCAGGGAGGGAGAGGGGGTGGAAATTTCAGGAGCTCTCCTCCTTTTTGAACGGTCTCTCTCTCTCTCTCTCTCTCTCTCTCTCTCTCACACACACACACACACACACACACACACACACACACACGCCCTACAGTCTACACGCCAAGCCTTCCCACCTTTCCCCTCCTCCTGTGTCCTCTCCCCCCTCGTCCCACCTGCACAGTCCTGTTCAGCCCTTAAGACCTTAAGATACAGCTCCCGAGAGAGGAGCCTTCCTGGGTTCTCTCTGGCAGAGCCGAGGGCCTCTCCACCACGCTCTGTACACGGCATTATTCTAGCTCGTCAGACACGCAGTTATTAAGGGATGGATTTCCCCCTTTATCCAGCTATGCGTTGCTCATGGGCATGGGATAGGTGTTCCCTACCCTTGAATTCTGCGCTGGGAACCTTGCACGCAGCTGAAGTCTACAGACAACTTGCTGGATTGAACAGAGGCAGGTGTTAGAGCAGTGGTTCTCAACCTTCTGGCCCTTTAAATACAGTTCCTCATGTTGTGACCCAACCATAAAATTATTTTCGTTGCTACTTCATCACTGTAATGTTGCTACTGTTATGAATTGTAATGTAAATATCTGATATGCAGGATGGTCTTAGGCGACCCCTGTGAAAGGGTCGTTCGACCGCCAAAGGGGTCGCGACCCACAGGTTGAGAACCGCTGTGTTAGAGGAAGGGTGGGGGCAGCATCCTAAAGAAGATGTAGGTTGGGAGGATCACACGCCTCCTTCTAGAACCTTCCATCTGAAGGGAGACTTAGGGGTGCCCTCCTCTAGGCCTTCTGTGGACAGACACCTTGCACAGCCTGTCAGTCCTCCAAGACGAGGTGGCCCTGGGTTCTGGCCTGAGGCAGCGCAGCCACTGCTTTGGGTTTTACACGGCATCTCGACCAGTCTGCACCCGTCACCTGGTCAGGAGCGGTGTCCGCTTTGTGTCTTCCGTATTTGGCTCAGAGCTGAGCCTTTGGGAGACGCTCAACCATTTGGCATCTGTGGGTTGAAAGTCCTGGGCCTTTGGGCCTCCAATGTAGCTGTCAGATTTCTGGTCAGACTTTAGGAATAATTTTTCACGAGAATTTTAAGTTTTGGGGGAAAGTCACCAAGAAAAGACTTTGGAATCGTTTACTTAGGGTTTCTTAAGACTAAGACCCTTATCCCACCCATCGGCTCAGAGCACGGGGAGAGGAGGCTGCAGGAGGAAGGGGGCGGCAGAGGGACCTCGGGGGATTATTCCCGACCTGCTCACATGGCCCAGTCCAAGCTGGATGCTTTCATATTCCTTTATTTCCTCTGCTGTGAAGCGCGCTGCAACGCGGGAGCTGGTTCACAGAGCGACGCGGTCTCCTAGGAGGACAGCCATATGGACAGAGTACACACAGACACCCACCTGCACGGCTGGGAGTGCAGAGGCAACAGCACCGGGCCCAGCCTGTGTGTGCTTCGGGGGGGGGGGGGGCTTCCTGAAACCCACGGGAAACCAGCACAGCGAGGGGGCGGTGGGGGGACAGAAGAGGGGGTTGCTGTCAAGTCAGTTTAACTGGAATCCTCTCTGGCTCACAGCCGCAGGGAGCGATGGAGGGAAGGGGTGATGGTGATTGTGTTGCTGCTGGGTCTGCAGGGGCAGGGGAACGGCTCCCCTCCCGGAGCCACAGGGCTGTGCTCCCCGAGGGCCTCCTCAGAGGGGCTGAGGTTAAAGGTGTGACCAAGGTGCGGAGGGGGCTTAAGCACCAGGCTGCTTACAGCCCCGGGACTGCAGGCCTCCTCAGAGGGGCTGAGGTTAAAGGTGTGACCAACGTGCAGAGGGGGCTTATCCAGGCCGGAGCACCAGGCTGCTTACAGCCCCGGGACTGCGCTGACTCTAAGCAGGAGCCTCGGAGAAGCCAGCTGCAGCGGAAGAGGAGGCCCTCATGGGAGCAGGGGAAGGGGCTGGGATAAAATGCGCTCTGTTTCTGTAAACTAGCACAAGAGAACAACGAGAAAGAGTCTAATGGGAACTTCTTGAAGTTAGGGGTCTAGCTTAATACAGTTTCTTTAAAATCTCTGGACCTTTTCTAAACCTGTCTTGAGGGGAGGCACTGAGTACCACTCATTTCTAGAACATCCACGCCAGCCACCCGCACACACCCTCGGGGACTGTGGAGGGGCAGCACCCCCTAGAGGCAGGTCAGAGGAAGGCCTAGGTGAGTCAGCCCTGGGGCCCAGCCCCCTTGAGGTCGGCCAAGCTGCACCTGGGCCAGGCAGGGAGGGTGGGAACTTTGGGGGAGGGACAGTCCGTCCAGGGAATAAATAACTGCAAGGGAGGGAGAGAATGCTGAGGACTTGCCTTGCTTTAGAGCAAGGGCCAAAGTGGAGCCGCAGAATGGAACGTGAGCACTAGAGGGGCCTCGGCGGGGTGTATAGCCTGTGGGAGCCGAGAGCGGAAGGCGCGGCAAGGTCAGACAGCAACCGGGAGCAGACTGCATCCTCACCTGGGCCCCCAAGGTTCCCACCATTGCTCCCCCATCATGGAACGAGCCCCCTCTCCCCCACCGCATTCCCAACTCAGGGCCACTGTAGCTCTGAGCCCTTTAGACCCAGAGGAGAGAGAGACCATGTACAGGGCCCCTGGCTCTTCAAGTTGGGAGTCCTTGACCTTGGAAAATCACCCCCAGGGTGGTGAAGAGGAGGGGCCATCTGTGTCCCGCATCAGCCACCAGGTGTCACTGATGTGTCTGTCTTAGGGGGAGGCTAATGTGCACACGTGGAAGAAGCTTCTGGAAGATCTCCGGGTGCCCGCCCCTCTCTCGGGTTTCTCAGGAACCTCTCTGGGGTGAAAAGGACTGGGTCGTCCCCACTGATAGAGAACAGATGGCAGGGGGGTGGTGGCTCTGCGCCCTCCACTGGGACACGGTGATCCCCAGGCATTAGGCCTCTTGTTCAGAGTGGCCACGGGGGCTGCAGGACCCCTTTGCACCCCACGGGCACGTCCCAGGGCTCTGACTCCCACCCCACTCCCCCTGGCTGATTCCTGGTTCCCCAGCCAGTCTTCTCCTGGACTGGTCCTCCCTGCTCTTCCTCTTGGAACAAGGAGGCCCCGTTAGGAGGGTGTGAGCTGCGTTCACCCTGGAGAGAGAGGGCCCAGCTCCTCCCCGTGAAGAGTAGGCCAGGTGCAGGCCCTTGCGGGAACCCTGCCCCCCTGCCCTCCCCTGGCCATGCCCTGCACTTCCTTTCTGGAGAACACGGGCCGGCGGCGATGTCTGGTGCCAGCGGACAGGTGGTGGAGCAGCACTTTGCAAGGCAGATCCTTGGCCAATGGGACCCGGGTGCTGTGGTCTTTTGGGGCCAGAGCTGCCCGCGCAGGAGGAGTCCCTGCAGGGCTTCCCGAACCCCACCTCTGGGCCACTCCGGACCGTTTTCTTGCTTCACCAGGGCCGAGATCCAGATGTCAGTCCAGGCCCAGACTTACCCAGGAGTGACAGTGAGGCAGGGCGAGCAGGGACTATGAAATTTTTAAACAGACACCTGTGCTCTGGGCCAGAGGGTCAGCATGCAGTGGGTGTCTCTGGGCTGGATGGCCCCCCCAAGGCCTGGGAGGTCTCGGTCCTGAGGCTGTGGCTCGTCCCGCCTCAGGAAGGTGGGCTGAGAAAGGCAAAGCGGGGAGAAAGACAGGGAGACAGAGAAGACGAGTGGTGGGCCCGGCGCCTGGGCCACCGTCTTCAAGGGCGATCGGAGAGGACGCAGGGCAGAGCGAGGCCTAGATGACCACGGACTGCAGCAGGCGGAAGCACATCATGAGGTCCAGCGGGATGGGCGGCTTCAGGTAGTTCCCGTCCAGCCTCAGGTAGCGCAGGTGTGGCACGTTCTCCAGATCTGAGAAGTCCCGGAAGGTGAACAGGTTGTAAGGGCAAATCTGGGTCCCGTTGATCTCTATGGAGAGAGAAGGGGAGAGGTGAGCAGGAGAGGAGGGCAGGGCCAGGGCCGAGGGGACTGAGATGAGGAAGGAGAGGGTGGGCGACTGAGAGTAAGGACTAGACTTCTCCCCGGAACTGGCCGACGGTAGGAATGTGTGACGCTGGATAGTCGACCCTTACCGCCAGGCCCGGTTTACTCGCTGTAAAATTAATTAATCAAGTTGGAATCGATCCACAGTGGTTACTGGAGATTTACTCTGAGGAGTCACGGAGGAAGAAAGCTGTGAGTTGAGCCTTCAAAGTTGGGTAGGATTATAGCAGGGGGAGGCCTGGGGCTGGGGTTTTGATAGAGGAACCTATTTGCATAGAGTTGTGGGGGCCAAAAGGATCATGGGAGAATCTGGGAGTAGTGAACAGCACAGTGTGATGAAATAGGGAGAGTGAGCTGGAAAGGTGAGCTGTGGCCCCAAATATGGTCGGCTTTCAGCGATTTCACTAAGGACAGGCTTTGATCTTCAGCCTGAGGACTGGTATTGAGCAGGGCTGCTGTTGTGACAGGGATGGTAGGATGTGTGAACGATGGTGTCCTGGGGGTGAAATCTGGAAGGAGCCGATCACGAGGCTTATACTGTAGAAAGACGGATCTAGCCGCAGTGGGGAGAGAGTGGGGTGAGGCGAGATCTGAGCCGGCAGGTGGGTGTGGGAGGGCCCTGTGGCCTGGACCTGGATGGGCAGAAAGTGGTCCCAGTAACTGACACAGGGCTGCCAGGAAGGGAAGGGGGTGTGGGGAGGGCACAGGGCCCACGGGGCAGGCTGAACCTATTGATTCTGACGTGATTACTGATTCTGGGTTTTCCAGTGGAAAATGAGATTTCATTTTCTCCTTCACCTCTTGCTAGATGACATCAGATGCAGCAACGAAATGAAGTTTTATTCCCCTAAGCCTGGCCTCATTTATCATCTGCGGGGTCGTTGTTGTTTTTCTCTCTTCACCACTGGGGCAGCAGAGAGAGCCTGACACAGGGATTTTCTTACAGCCTCTGTCACGTAGGCCTGTCACGGGACCGCCCTGATGCTCAGCTCCCAGACCAGTGAGTGCGTTGATATTTCCAATTTCACCCTCGGGAGGCTGGCTGTCCCCAGCAGCCTGTTCTTCCACCGGGACAGACCTGTCAGTTATGTGGCTTCTGGCTATACTTTCGGCCTCTCCAGCATCCCGGGGAGCGATGAGCGGCCTCCGTTTACTCCCTGAATGTGTTTCTTGCCAGATGTTAGAAGCCCCTCTCACTCTGCAATTATCCCAGACAAGTGAGCAAAGCCTGTTCTCCCCACCACTTGCTTCCAGGTTGTAGACATTCAACAATCTCCCTCACCCTCTTGGGCTGGGCAACTAAGGGTTCCTATGGTGATTCGAGGGGAGCTTCCCTTTCCCTTTGCCCCCTTCCTCCCAGCAGCGGCTGCACCCCTGATGTGCTTCAATGGCCAGGTCATACTGGTACTTTTGATTTTAAGCCTTTGTCCTGACGCTCAGCTCAGAGCTGACATTGCTGATGGAAGCAAAACTAGTCTGTTCTTTGGGGCTGCAATGGATACCTCACAGCCCAGGACCCTGTAAAAGCAGCCGAGGGGAGTCCTGCCTTCAGCGTACCGTCTTACACAACTAACTACTCCAGCTCCCCAGATAGTCTCTGAAAGCCCCCCACACCAGCGTGTTTTCCTGGCTGCCGCATTTTCACCAAGGGCAGATCCTGCATATGCAGTGGGGCCTTGACTTACAAGTGTCCCGACTAATGAGTTTTTTGAGATACCAGCTGTCTCTCGGCCGATTTTTTGCATTGAGTTGATAGAGTAATTTGAGTTAACGAGCTCCTTAAGAGCTCGGTCTCAGAACGAATTAAACTCATAAGTCAAGGCCCCACTGTACAGGGGTGGGCAAAAGCAGGCTTACAGTTGAAACAGCGTTTATTCTGTAGTATTATTTATTTATTAATTATTGTATTGTTGATCATTATTATGAACCTACTTTTGCCCACCCTGTCCGGCTGCCTCTCTGTGTATACCTTTTACAGATGCTTCAGAAGCTAGGCGCAGACTTGGGGGGATGCCATCTCACTCAGCTGCCAGTGTCCGCGGCGGACAGGCCCGGGCATTTCAGAGAGGGCATTTATTTTTTATTTTTTTCCAGAGTGGGCATGTAAATGTCACTGATCTGCTTTTAGGAGAATGTCCAGGACTGTATTCCGTGTCCACCCTATCGACAGATCTGGAGGGCAAAGGAGTTGGGGCTGATGAGAAGAGATGGAGGAAGAGAAGCGAGCACCCTCCAGCCATGGCATTCGGGGCACGGCATCCACGTTAAACGGCTACATCCTCATACCAAGTTGATGATATTATTACCATTCTCACTTTACAGAGGAGGGAACTTCCCAGGGAGGCCAACTATCTGTCCAAGCTCATGCAGATAGCGAGTGGTAAGGCCATGGTTTGAAGTCCAGTGTCAAGCAGGGTGTCTCTTGCACACCCCCACCCTGAGGCTCCTGAGAACAGGCTGACGTGGTGAGTCCCCAGCCTCCCGCCCCGGGCCTGGCCCCGCCTCCCCACTCACTCTCGATGTGGTTGTTGTTGAGGTACAGGTGCTCCAGCTTGTTGTTAATGGCAGGCACGCTGCTGATCTTGTTGTGGGACAGGTGGAGCACGAGCAGGTTGGAGAGGTTAAAGGAGTTCTTGGGGAGCCCCCTGTCGGACAGCTTGTTGTAGTTAAGGCGAATGAAGGCGAGGTTGGGGAAGGCCTTGAAGTATCCGTTAGGGATGGTCGCGATCTGGTTGCTGTCCAGGTAGAGCTGGTGAAGGGCTTTGGGGACCTTGGGGGGCATCTTCTTCAGTTCGTTGTGGGCCAGGTTGAGCTGCATGAGTTTCTTGAGGCCCTGGAAGGTGTCAGGCTTGAGGACGTTGTCGTTCAGCTGGTTGTGCTGGAGGTCCAGGAGCAGCAGGTTCTCCAGCTTGCTGAAGACCCCCGGGGGGATCTTGGAGATCTGGTTCTGGCTCAGCCTCAGCTGCTCCAGGTTCCGGGGCAGGGCGGAGGGCACCTCTTTCAGCTGGTTCTTCTCCATGTAGAGGAACGCCAGGCTGGGTAGCTTCTCCAGCACCTTCTGGTCCACCTTGCTGATCTTGTTGTTGTCCAGGTTGACCCACCGCAGGTCCGAGGCGTTCTTGAAGGACTCCACTGGGAGCTCAGTTATGAAGTTGTTTTGGAGATAGAGGTAATGGATGCGGGGTGGGATGACAGGCACCTTCCTGAGGTTGCGGCTGTCGCAGTAGAGGGCAGATGGGAAGTCATGGGGGCAGTAGCATTCCCGGGGACAGTCAGGAAAGAGAGACGGAGGGCCTGGCGGGAGGGGAGGAGGCAGGTCGGTAGGCTTCGATGGTGTGGGCCTGGGCCTCGGCCTGGGCCTGGGCCTGCCCCCGGGTTTTGGTCGTCTTGTTGGCTGACCTTTGGTCACTGAGGCCAAGATGAGGAGAAGTGGGAGGAGCAAGGAGAGAGATGACCTCATGATCTGGGTGATGCACCTGCAGGGAGAGATGCGGAAGGTCATTAGCCAGTTGGGCCTCAGCAACTAGAGGCCATGACTTTGCACCTGCTAGAATGCAAAGTGGCTGGGACGGCTTCCGGGGGGCTCTGGAGGGGCCTGTGGGAGCATTTCCCTGTTCACCTGATTCTAGCAGGTGAGAAAGTAACCAGGGCTCGAGGGCCTGGGTTCCCTGCCGGAGGCCTCGCCACCCAATGTGCTCAGCCCGCGCTGGGAGGGAGCCCTCCTGCAGAAAGCACACGGGCGGGGAAGCAGGAGTCCCGCGCTTGCCCTCCAGCCCCCAGTCTCCCCCTCTGCAGCGCGAGAAAATCAGTCCTGTCCTCGTAAGAGGGAGTTAGGGCATATGAGCCATGGAGTCCTGGGGTGTTACAATCCAGACGTGTCCTTAGAGATCACACAGCTCAATGGTTTTCAAATGGTGCCCCATTTCTATGGAGGGAGGGAGACCAAGGAGCTGGCCCTGGGACACCCAGCTCACTCCTGTGCCAACCTGAGCAGCTCTGTGTTATTTTAATCTGATATATATCTACATCCACATCCACATCCACATCCACATCTCTATCTCTATCTCTATCTCTATCTCTATCTCTATCTCTATCTCTATCTCTATCTATATCTATATCTATATCTATCTATGTTTAACCAAAGCACTCATTTGAAAAATAAAGTTGCATTGCTAAAAACTGGTTTGAAATCCACCAATGACGTGCAGACTCTACTGTTTATAAACACTGAGTACTGGAGGGAGGAAGTGGCTGCCGAGGCCAGGAAGTTATTTAATAGCAGGGCCAGGGCTCCTGCCTTCCAGGGTGGGGCCCGTGGAGATCCTGGGAAGGAAGGAAAGTGCTTCAGACACGTGTGTGTCCCCCCTGCTTGTCCCTCACCCACTGCACTCGGCTCAGCGAACACTGGCCCTTGCCAGCAGGATACACACCAAGAATTCCCCCACAGATGTGGAGGCTTCTGGAAAGAAAACAAGGAAGAGCTTGAAAGCTGTGGGGAAACCACTTTCATTTCTTGTGGCCTGTTATTGCTGCTCTCTCTTTTTTTTTTTTTAAATATGTTTTTATTGATTTCAGAGAGAGGAAGGGAGAGGGAGAGAGAAACATCAATGAGAGAGAAACATCGATTGGCTGCCTCCTGCACAGGCCCCACTAAGGCTCGAGGCCACAACCCTGGCATGTGCCCTGACCAGAGTCAAACCCACAGCCTCCTGTGCATGGGATGGTGCTCAACCAACGGAGCCACACCGGCTGGGAGGCATGGCTGTTCTATGCACTGGAGTCGGTCTGTGGAGGGACCAAGAAGAGCTTCCTGCTAGCCCCAGTGACAGGGGAATAGGTTGCTGGAGGATATTTTGGGGTTGCCCTTCCCATTGTCCCCAATAGGACCATGTGGTTCTAGTTGAACTAAGCTGGGAAAATAGCAATAGACTCAGGCTAGCAGACGCATAGTGGCAGCTCCCATAGGCCTCTCCCCTGGCCTGACTGGGAAGGGCCCGGGAAGGAGGTTCATGTACCACCCCCTCCCCAGAGCCCTCATCCTTATGATACCCCTCTGGTCTCCAGGTCTGTCGTCATTCCCACATTGCTTCTCCAGGCCACTCTGGCTGCTTCTTCACAATTGTGGTGTCTGCCCCGCCCCCTTCAGGGATCTGGGACACCCTGGGGATGCAGGCTTCCTGGGGTTCTCTGAGATAGATTGGGCTCGAGTGTGTCCCCTGCTGCATCCAGACCCTGTGATCACTGCCTCTGTCCAGGCCACCCGCTCTCTTTCCTTTGAGCCCGCATCCACTGAGACTCTTGCCTGCACGAGTGGCTGACTCAGTGCCGGCTTTGCTCCGAGGAAGACAATAGAAGCCCCTCCCCAGCTGCTCAGTTCCCAGCTAGGTGCTCCGAAGGAGCTGAATGTAAAAAGAAACAGGAGAGAAGGCAGAGCACAAGCCTGGAGGGTCGGAGGGAGTCTCCCACACTTTTCACATGCACATCCTGACTTCCAGCCTGCATACATGTGCACACACACACACACACACTTCTCTGCACACACACACATACACACTTCTCTGCATACACACACACACACACTTCTCTGCATACACACATACACACTTCTCTGTGCACACACATACACACTTCTCTGCACACACATACACACTTCTCTGCATACATACACACACACACTTCTCTGCATACACACATACACACTTCTCTGTGCACACACATACACACTTCTTTGCACACACATACACACGTCTCTGCATACAGACACATACACACTTCTCTGTGCACACACACTTCTATACCATACACAGAGGCAAACTCATGTTTGTACGTGCTCTGTGTGCCTGTGTAAGCCCGTATATATAGTACCCTGAGCACAGGAAGGAAGAAGGGAGGGACGGAGGGGAGGCAGACAGACACACTAGGACCGTGGTCGGCAAACTGTGGCTCGCGAGCCACATGCGGCTCTTTGGCCCCTTGAGTGTGGCCCTTCCTAAGCCTTAGGAGTACCCTAATTAAGTTAATAACAATGTACCTACCTATATCATTTAAGTTTAAAAAATTTGGCTCTCAAAAGAAATTTCAATCATTGTACTGTTGATATTTGGCTCTGTTGACTAATGAGTTTGCTGACCACTGGCCTAGGAGGAAGCAGGGAAGAGATTGCCTGCAGCCTCTGTTGCCTCTCCACCTCCCTCTAAAGTGGTCTCTGCCCAGGCCGGCTCCCCCTCGGGGACCAAGAGGGCCCCTTTTCCTGGGCCTCCGGTCACAAAGGAGCTGCTGTTGGATTCTCGCTTTATCTACAGTCAGGGCTACAACAGTCCCAGGGACACATGAGAGGACGGGAAAGAGAAGACAGTCATCGTAAAACTACACTTGGAGTCGTGTGGCCGGACCAATGCCACTTGATGAACCATGAATTAATATTTCACAAGTCCTGTAATTTTCTTGACAACTAGAGGCCTGGTGCATGAAATACGTGCCCTGGTGGGGGAGGGGGGCTCAGCCCGGCCTGTGCCCTCTCACAGTCCAGGACCCCTTGCTCCTTACTGCCCACCTGCTCACTGCTCCTTAGCGCTGCCTGCCGTGGAGGAGGGAGAGGCTCCTGCCACCACCGCTGTGCTCACCAGCTGTGAGCCCGGCTTCTGGCTGAGTAGCGCTCCCCCTGTGGGATCTCACTGACCACCAGGGGGCAGCTCCTGCATTGAGCATCTGCCCCCTGGTGGTCAGTGCGCATCATAGCGACCGGTCATTCTAGTCGTTCTGCCATAACGGTTGCTTAGGCTTTTATTATATAGATAACACCATCATTTTGCATATCAATTTTAAGGAGGCAGTTAGAGCATTACTATACTAAATACAAACATTTTAAAAAGCCCCAATTGTTGTGACCCTGAAACTTTTTGTTTGGGCATTTATTTCCTTATCCCCCAGAAACCTGAAATAAACAAACAATCTCTCATGATGGGAGAAGCCCTGCCCCAAAGAGGCTCCCCAGTTTCCTGGCCTCACTCTGTCAGCACAGCTTCTGCTGGGTCCTGGGCCCCGAGTTAAGCAGGAAACCGGTCCAGAGCTTCCAGCGGGATCCCACTCTGCGAGTGACCCAGGCCTTGCCAGGGCTGTTTCTCAGTGGCTCCAGGCCTCATGGGCAGGTGTGACAGGGTCACGGTGAGTCACAGCTCTACCTGCACACCAGCCCCCCACTCCTTCCCTCAGAAATGAACACAGGCCTTACTCACGCCCACCGCCCTCCCTCCCACACCCTTCAGGAAGTTAGGATCTGCCCACAGTCCTGAGCCTCTACATTCAGACCTTGGGGGGCTGGCCAGGCCCCTCCCACAGCAGATGGGGGCTCCCTAGGAAAAGCTGGGGGCGCTGCTCTCAGGAGAGACTGGGTCTGTTAACTCCCTTTCTCTTAGCCTGTGCAGAACCACCCTGTGTGCTCGTGGACATTTGAGCCGCCACGCCTCTTTCTTGGGGAAATAGCGTTCATTTCTAGGGCTTTTCTCACCCGGCAACGCCTCTTCCCGCTGGGGCCTGGCCCTGGAGGGAAGTCCTGACAGCGCAGCTCTGGCATGCACTGTCCTGTCCTAAATCCTGAACTCCTCGGGGACTCACCGTTCCCCTGCCAAAGCCCAAGGTCACGCTTTCTCATGCTGCTGCCTTCCAGAAGCTTCTGCCCAATCGTACGCTCTCTTAGGGTGGGTCCCAAGTGTGTGTGATTTTTAAATTTCTCCCACCTCCCAGCCTTCTGCTGAGCTCAGAGCTCCGTCGCTGAGCGCTGGGGGGCCAGACACGCTGCCCAGCGGGCCCTGTTAGGCTCTCAGAACGCTGCTGCCCTAGGGGGACTGCCATCGCTTTGCCCAGCTCAAAATTCAGTCTCTCCCTTTAAGAACATTTCCTAAGAGTGTTTGAAGTGTGAATGTCAGTTCCAGGATTGGAGATCTGGGCTTGCATCCCGCCCTGCCCCTCCGCCCCAGGCCTCAGGCTCCCCATCCCCGTGAGGATCAGATGAGGTCATGCACACGAAGGCCTGTCAGAGCGCCTAAGCTCTGCAAATGGCAGGGGCTTCACTCATCCACCGATTTGTTTATAAAAGAGCAGATGCCCCAGAGGCTGATTGTAAAGCGAGCTCGCCTCATCTCTATCTAGCCTGCCATAACGGTTGCTTAGGCTTTTATTATATAGATAACACCATCATTTTGCATATCAATTTTAAGGAGGCAGTTAGAGCATTACTATACTAAATACAAACATTTTAAAAAGCCCCAATTGTTGTGACCCTGAAACTTTTTGTTTGGGCATTTATTTCCTTATCCCCCAGAAACCTGAAATAAACAAACAATCTCTCATGATGGGAGAAGCCCTGCCCCAAAGAGGCTCCCCAGTTTCCTGGCCTTGCTCTGTCAGCACAGCTTCTGCCGGGTCCTGGGCCCCGAGTTAAGCAGGAAACCGGTCCAGAGCTTCCAGCGGGATCCCA